GTCTTCCTAAGACCTACCAGCATACCAAATATCATCACAATCCATAAAGGCGTTCTGAAGTTATGCTGACTACAATGTACGGAAACACACAAACACATACACACACGCGCGCGCCAAAAACAATACCTCCATTTTCATGGAGGTAACAAAAGCCTGTCCCCTGACCTGATAACAAGATGTGTCGAGATCTGGTTGGTTGTCAGTTTAGTTGCTGAGCCGGTAGCACGACTCTTTTCTCACTATAGGCTAGTGTCCAAGCAGATATTTTGGCCGCCTGTATCTATTGGGTGGCGAAAGTATTGGATACCATTCACGATCACATAAGTCGTTCTAGCCAGGATTCAAGAGTTTGTTCCGCACTACTTTGTATACCCGCATCATGAATCCGGTGGTCGCCCAGTAATACTGTGTTCTGCCACCAAAACAATAAAGGGAAATCTGGGACAACGCCAGAGGAGAATAATCAACACGCCAATGCTTGTCACCAAACCCCCAAAGAAAGAGAAGGACCAATCCTGTATCCATTTGGCTGGTTTTAAAGAAAAGATACCCGTACAAAAATCGCCTCAAAACACGCCTTTGTCCTACATTTCTGTTAAGTATTCAGCTTTTTATTAGAGGTAAACACCATTTAACATGACTTCTGCTAATCAGGACCTTATTTGTATAATTGGTTAGGAAATGCTAGAAAACGATGACTTTATTTGCATAATCAATGAGAAACATTCATAAATCGTCGGGAGTAAAGCTTAACGACATTTTTTGGACAAGGTATGCGGTCGTGGAATTCTAGCACATGTCATAATTTTATTCATTCTAGGAGAGTTATTGTTTCCATACATTGTACCCTGTACACCATATTCCATAAACTATACAGCTACAGGTTTATACACTTGCGTTGATGACTTACTTATCAAAGTCCAAGCTCTGCATGAGATTTTTGTGAAGAGTTTCTTTGCGATGCCTCCACCATGTATAAACCGCCACCACACCGGTACCAAACACTTTGAGTACAACACCGCCAGACTTAAGCGGACTGGGCAACTCCGATAGAACGACGTAGTCCAACAGCACTGCAAGAGGTATGGTGAAAGTCTTGATGGTGGCAGTGATCCCCGCCTTTTCCGTCTTCAATGACAATTTTGTAGCAAAATGTGCGCCGCAGCCACACAGGCACAGTCCGATAACATAACCCACCGTCTGTGCCGACATCGCCCAAATCGGGGTCTCAAACCAGTACGTCAGTCCGAGGCGCACGACCGCTCCTGGCAGGTTGGCGTAGAACATCACGGTTAGAATGGAGACCTTCTGTACACCGACAAGCGATCGTTCGATGACAACACTTGGAGCTTTGCAGAAAGTTGCTGCGAAGGGAAGGAGAACGGACACCGTCAGAAGCTGCGTGGACGAAGTGTTCTCCGTAATTAATCCATAAGTGACTACTGCAACCCCGGCTACGTTTAGAACGATTCCAAAACAAGCCACGACGCCCACAGTTTCCTTCAGGAACAACAAGAGCTCCGAGATCTCATACATCCATGAAATATGGGCTTGACATGTAAATGTAAATTAATTCTTTAATTATGCAAATGACCTCTACATAAACATCATAAATGTATCGTGATGTTAACTTTTTATTAACTTACACATGTTCCAAGTATGAAATTCCCATCATTTACCACTAAGGAGTCATAGAATTTTGAGATGAATTATGCAAATTAGGTTCGTATTTGCATAATTGGTATCTGATGATATTCCTCCTGTCATAGATTATAAACATTACATGTATCAAAGACCCATGATGTAGAAAAAAGACCACTGAAAGTACACAATTTCCTCATTTATTATGCAAATGAAATCATCATTTGCATAATTTGCATCTAATAATGTAGATCTCTGCCTACGGTACCCACATACAAAAAAAATCAAGAAAATACATCGTTCCTTTGTGAATTTATCTGCTCTGAAAGGTTTCGCCAGAAACCCCCCTGAAGTTCCAGAACAAGCTGCTAGGGAGACCAAACCCACACCACTTATTACTGGCAGGAAAAGCTATCCACCACTTAAAAATCAAGACCATAGCATGTCCAGGACAAAAGATTAAAAAAAAAAACGGAAGTTCTGCTGCAGTGCCAAGGTCATCCACCAGGTGGCCCATATTTGACCTTGACCTTTGTCTTTCCAAGACTTACCAACATACCAAATATCATCACAATCCATAAAGGCGTTCTGAAGTTATGCTGACCACAAAGTTGCGGAAACACACACAGATAGACAGACACACACACAGACATACAGACAGACACGCCAAAAACAATACCTCCATTTTTCATGGAGGTAAATAATAAGTAGGGCGACAACACCCCTCCTTGCGGGACCCCTGACGTGAGCAACTGCCAACTGCTGATCTTGCCGTTCACGAAGACTCTCTGCCTGCGCCTACGTATCATTAAACATAACTTACTAGTATTGGAATAAGGACCTCATTTGAATAATGTATGAGGAAAAGATAGAATGGCTTTCTTTGTTAGGATAAGGCTGTATTTTGGTGGAGAATATGATTAACTGATATAATTCATGCAAATGAGGATCCTACTTGCATAATCAGGAGAAATAATCTTTACTTTGTCAGTCATAAAGATTAACATCATTTGGCAAAGGTATGAGATCATGGATTTTGTTATCCTACAGTTTGAGTGAAGTGTGAAGTGATCATGAAGTGTAACAGTTTGACGGGTCCTGAGGTATAGGAGTACCGTGAGTCATGTCAGGTTCTGAACTTTAGTCCTAAGACGTCCATCACTTCCATATATAAAGATATCTTTGGCAAGGATTGATGGGCACTGCCTGATCACGTCTACAACCAATGACGTGCTGTAATGATCCCCTACGTCACAGCAGGGGTCCGGGGAGTCAGCGGGCGCCAGGAGTGGCGTGACGAGCTAATAAGTACTGAACTTGTGGGGCTTTCTATTTTGTCAGCTTTTCTTTATGGGTCAGCATACTCAAGGAATAGCTGACAATAAGTAAAGCCTGACAAGACGCTTAAAAACGCCCAAGACACGCCTAACCTCTGCTTGGTGTAGACTTCCAACTCAAGATGAACTCAGGTAACACAAAACACAGACAGCTCAGTGATTTCCAAGTAACGGCTCTATGTCAAACCTGCAGCTACGACGTCACAACCCTACACACGTCACAATGATGGTGAAAGTTGTTAAGTCATACTGGGACGTCGACATTTCCGTTTTTCTTTGGAACTCCGAGTCTGCGGCGAGACTGTGTCTTGAGGCCCTGCCAGGGACGGACATCCTGCGGTAGTGTGTTCCCTCCTGTTTCTTCTTCTCCTCCTCCTCCTCCTCCTGCCACACAGTCAAATGGATTCAACTCTTAGCCAAATGACCTGACGTTTGGCATGGAGGTAGAGTGGGCCAATACCCCCAGGTGTTTTTTTTCATCTTTTTTGTTTTTGAAAATTTTTTATGAAGGTTTTTTTTGAGGGATTTTTTGACAAAAAATGGATTTTTGGATCCTGGGCCCTGGTATTACAACCATTAATGTATAGTTCAATATGTATGTATAGTTTCATAGTTCCTCTATATATAGTTATATAGCTCTTAATAGTTTCCTTTTCTTTGCAATTAGACCTTCAAAATGTATCATTGTTTTCGCTTGCAATATTGCATACCTGCAATAAGATTGTGTGATAAGAGTAATGTAAAATTTTGTAAGTAAAGCTGTCGAGATTCAAAGTGCTTGTTCTTGCATCTTTGTTCTCAATTACATAGCTACTATATAATTACCTTCGCCAAGAAGGTTATGTCTTAGTAGCGTTTGTCTGTGTGTGTGTGTGTGTGTGTGTGTGTGTGTGTGGTTTAGCAAGATAACTCGAGAAGCAGTGGATGGATTCGAATGAAACTTAGTAGGTAGGTAGGTATTTATAAGACCTAGAAATGATTAGATTTTGGGCCCCTGGCGGCTTTTGTTGGTACTGCAGCAGAACTTCCGGTTTTGATAGCTCGTAATCTGGACATGCTAGGGTCATAAATTTTAAATGGCAGATAGCTATTGGGACAGGGAAGAAGTGACAGTTCTGGAACTGCAGGGGCATTTGTTGAAACATTTTCGAAGGAGGATAACTCAAGAACCTGTTGACGGATTGTCGTGATATTTGGTATGTAGGTAGTTGAAGTGATGCTTGACAGTCAGATGACAATTATGCAAATCGGGAGCTAATTTGCATAATTAATAAGGAAATACTATAAATCTGCTTTGTTCGATAATAGAACCATGAAACACTTGTGATATCTACTTGAGAACGAGAAAAACCATATGAGGATATAGATTAATAGTAAATGAGGACCTAATATGTATAATTAGTAGCAAATTTTTATAATTTCATAGTTGTAACTGCTGGGAATTTCATACTTGCCACATTTGGAAGTATAGGTGAACACCAATAAAAATAATTTATTCAAACCATGACCTCATTAGCATAATTTATGAGGAAGATAAGTTGTTTTGTTAAGATAAGGGTGTCATTGGGTGGAGAATATGATCAACTGATATAATCCATGCAAATGAGGCTCTTATTTATGAAATCAATGATTAAAATTGTATTATTCGTCAACCATCATTTGGCGAAGGTATGAAGTCGTGGAACTGGCGTAATACATTTCCAATGGAGAGAGTCCCTTTTGGGTCTTTTTGTTCCATTTAATACGGGCGCAAATGACCTCATGGCCCGGCGGTTGTCCCCCGGCAGGAACCTCTCGCCTACATGCGTCGGCCAAGCGCAAAGGTTGCGCCACGGCGCTTCCAACTCGCCGCAATTGGGGGTTCAGACGTTGGAATTGATGTTGTAACGTACAATTTTTAGGGGCACCAAATCTTCTCAACTTTTGGCACATTTTATATTGAAATGTGTGTTTTCTCGGATGGGTATGACACAAATGAAATTCACAACACGGTGTAAGTTTGTAATTCCTGTCCCCATGCAGGCCAGTAGTTCCTGGGACAAGACAGTTCGTCTGTGGAACCCTGACACCAGTACGCTCCTGTTTGTGTTAGGGGGACACACGGGATGGGTCAAGGCACTGGCCTTCTCCATGGACAGTCTGTATCTGGCCTCAGCTGCAGACGATGAAACTGTGAGTATGTATTGTAGTAGTACCAGGAATCCAAATTAAAGGTGGTCCAATGCATGGCCACTGACCACTAAAATTTTGGCTGGGACAACTGAAAAGATACTTGGGGACATTTTTGGGACAATAAAAAAATCAACATCAGAATGTCAGCCCCCTGGTGCGCCTGGGAGTACACATACTAGTAAGCAAAAGTTGACTTCGAGTTGAATCCCCCAAAACAGATTGGGACAGTTCAGCCTCACTTCGGGACAGTTGAAATTCATTTTTAGGGCAGTGCTGGGACAATAATTTTGAGTCCAGAGTACACATCAAGATAACACATCATGACATGATTGTGTTATCTTGGTGACTCTTTCCCAGGCGGGAGGCTTTAGGCTACCAAAATATAGAACTTCCTCAGCTACCAGATCTATCAGCTACAGATGCATAAAATTATACAACACTTTCCCACAACACATCAAATCATCCACACCAACAGCGATCAAAAAACACATCAATGACAGCCTACAAGTTTGAGGTGATCTTCACATTTTCTCATAATCTGCTGTGAAATGACATTAGATACATGTACTTGGACCTTGAACGGGGGACATCAAGGATGTAAAGACAGGAGACAATCATGGGTTCCTCTTCTCCACTTGTCTCCTATTAGATACTAACATGGATGAAAAGTATAAGAAGTGATTCAGTCTTTCTTAATCCTCTTCCACTGTGTCTTGTGTCTTACATCACAAGATTTGTGACGTATACCATTTTTAGATGTGAAAGATATTCTGAGTTATCACATTGATTTAAAGTTAATCTTTCAATGCTAAAATTTTTAGTAATGCATGTTACTGACAGTTGTAAATTATAAATATCAACACAATTCAGGCAGTTTTAGCCTGCAATGTTGTTTGATTTCAATTGATAAATAGAATTCGAACTCAAAGTCATCAGTTTTCATAGTCCAGGAGTTTTCCCAGTGCTAGATTTTAGCGCCATGTCAGCAAACTGATACTTTCAAACTCAACCATACAATGTACAATCAAGCCCCGTGCTAGTTGGGCAGCCTTTCAGCTGTATCTTTAACCAAGCAAATTTTAAAATAATATAAAATGTGGAATCAGCTTTGCAGTCATTTATGGTACTGTACATGATCATACAAAATATATGTACTTAGGAATAGTTGATAAACTTAACAGTTACACAATCTCCCAGAAATTTAACAATCTACAAGAGATCAGATACAATCATTGTACATGATTGTACTTAGTAGGTATTAGAAATAGTTGATAAAGTTAACAGTTATGTGCACATGTATCTCAATTTGCAATCACCCAGAAATTTCCCCATCTACAAGAAATACAATTACATGTATTTATGGTACATGACTGTATTGATTTAGTAGGTATTAAAATTGTTGAAAAAGTTAAAGGTTACGTGTAACCACAAAACCGACTTTTGGCCACAACAATTTAATTTGTTGGTTCTTGAATTTTTTCAGAAAAAAATGAAGTGACAGGGTGATAAAAAACAGACTTGGGCATCATATGATAGCCCCAAATGCTATGATAGGAGCCATGAAGTCAACACAAAAGGCTGGGTTAATATAAACAATGACTTTTGAACTTGCCATGACATTGATGGATGGAAAACAAACCAGTGCATTGATGGATGGAAAAACTGAAACAAGTAGGAAGAAAACGACTTTCCTGAACTGTTGGGAGCAAAATATGAGCAGAATTGAGTTGATTCAGTAACAGAATCTTTTTTTTTGGCAAATCAGAAAAAAAAGAGGAACCAAAGGTGAATCCAAGAACCAACAAATTAAATTGGTGTGGCCTTGTCATTACAAGACTGGGACAATTCACTTGTCTGTCCCAAAGAAGCACCAGGGAGCATCAAAATCAGACGTGTCATAGCAGCATCCCTTCTCCTCACATTCCAGTTCAGTCATGTTCTCATGTCCACACTTCACACGGTCTTTCACCTGGGCCTGTAGACAGCCTGTTGGAAAAAAAGACAACAAGAAATCAGAGATTCCAAACCCCCGGGAAGCATATAACACATGATGTTCACAATGACAGCTGAAACTTTCAGATATCACACGAACAGCACGCTACAAGAAAGAGATACTAGGTGGTGTCACAATTGTATATTGAATGCACAGTACAGGATCTAGATACCCTTCCCCTTCCTGACAGTAGACTAAGTGTCCAGAGCTGTCAGCCTGCGCCTGTTTNTAAAAAAAATCAACATCAGAATGTCAGCCCCCTGGTGCGCCTGGGAGTACACATACTAGTAAGCAAAAGTTGACTTCGAGTTGAATCCCCCAAAACAGATTGGGACAGTTCAGCCTCACTTCGGGACAGTTGAAATTCATTTTTAGGGCAGTGCTGGGACAATAATTTTGAGTCCAGAGTACACATCAAGATAACACATCATGACATGATTGTGTTATCTTGATGACTCTTTCCCAGGCGGGAGGCTTTAGGCTACCAAAATATAGAACTTCCTCAGCTACCAGATCTATCAGCTACAGATGCATAAAATTATACAACACTTTCCCACAACACATCAAATCATCCACACCAACAGCGATCAAAAAACACATCAATGACAGCCTACAAGTTTGAGGTGATCTTCACATTTTCTCATAATCTGCTGTGAAATGACATTAGATACATGTACTTGGACCTTGAACGGGGGACATCAAGGATGTAAAGACAGGAGACAATCATGGGTTCCTCTTCTCCACTTGTCTCCTATTAGATACTAACATGGATGAAAAGTATAAGAAGTGATTCAGTCTTTCTTAATCCTCTTCCACTGTGTCTTGTGTCTTACATCACAAGATTTGTGACGTATACCATTTTTAGATGTGAAAGATATTCTGAGTTATCACATTGATTTAAAGTTAATCTTTCAATGCTAAAATTTTTAGTAATGCATGTTACTGACAGTTGTAAATTATAAATATCAACACAATTCAGGCAGTTTTAGCCTGCAATGTTGTTTGATTTCAATTCGAACTCAAAGTCATCAGTTTTCATAGTCCAGGAGTTTTCCCAGTGCTAGATTTTAGTCCCATGTCAGCAAACCGATACTTTCAAACTCAACCATACAATGTACAATCAAGCCCCGTGCTAGTTGGGCAGCCTTTCAGCTGTATCTTCAACCAAGCAAATTTTAAAATAATATAAAATGTGCAATCAGCTTTGCAGTTATTTATGGTATTGTACATGACTGTACAAAATATATGTAAGCTAATTAGGAATAGTTGATAAACTTAACAGTTACACAATCTCCCAGAAATTTCACAATCTAAGAGATCAGATACAATCATTTATGGTACATGATTGTACTTAGTAGATATTAGAAATAGTTGATAAAGTTAACACTTATGTGCACATGTATCTCAATTTGCAATCACCCAGAAATTTCCCCATCTACAAGAAATACAATTACATGTATTTATGGTACATGTATTTATGGTACATGACTGTATTCATTTAGTAGGTATTAAAATTGTTGAAAAAGTTAACAGTTACGTGTAACCACAAAACCGACTTTAGGCCACAACAATTTAATTTGTTGGGTCTTGAATTTTTTCAGAAAAAAAATGAAGTGACAGGGTGAAAAAAAACAGACTTGGGCATCCTATGATAGCCCCAAATGCTATGATAGGAGCCATGAAGTCAACACAAAAGGCTGGGTTAATATAAACAATGACTTTTGAACTTGCCATGGCATTGATAGATGGAAAACAAACCACTGCATTGATGGATGGAAACACTAAAACAAGTAGGAAGAAAATGACTTTCCTGAACCGTTGGGAGCAAAATATGAGCAGAATTGAGTTGATTCAGTAACAGAATCTTTTTTTTTGGCAAATCAGAAAAAAAAGAGGAACCAAAGGTGAATCCAAGAACCAACAAATTAAATTGGTGTGGCCTTGTCATTACAAAACTGGGACAATTCACTTGTCTGTCCCAAAGAAGCACCAGGGAGCATCAAAATCAGACGTGTCATAGCAGCATCCCTTCTCCTCACATTCCAGTTTACTCATGTTCTCATGTCCACACTTCACACGGTCTTTCACCTGGGCCTGTAGACAGCCTGTTGGGAAAAAAGACAACAAGAAATCAGAGATTCCAAACCCCCGGGAAGCATATAACACATGATGTTCACAATGACAGCTGAAATTTTCAGATATCACAAGAACAGCACGCTACAAGAAAGAGGTACTAGGTGGTGTAACAATTGTATATTGAATGCACAGTACAGGACCCAGATACCCTTCCCCTTCCTGACAGTAGACTAAGTGTATAGTCCAGAGCTGTCAGCCTGTGCCTGTTATAAATGATAACAGCTGTTGTGTAACTTCAGCACGCCATGTCTATATGAAATTTATGTCTTTACTCAATATTAGGACCAGACACCACAGAGAGTTTTTGTTGTGCAGTATATTCAAGGGATGTCACATTCCCGTAGCCAGGATTTTGAATGGGGGGGGGGGTTCTTCCCACTGCTTGAGGGACGAGCGCTCGGCGCCAGCGGAAAAATTTGAAAAATAAACCTTCTAGAATGGCATTTCGTGCGTTTCTGAGAGGATTTCAAAGAAAAAAAATCAGAGATAAATTTTTATTCAATGACAAAGGGAGCAGTTTTTCTACGATCCCAATCTATCTTTTCAAGAAAAATCTTGGACCTTTACATAAAAAGTGGACCAAAAAGTGGACCTTTACATATAAAGTGGACCAAAAAGTGGACCTCTGAGCATTGTGGGGGTTCTTCCGAACCCCCCGAACCCCCTGGCTACGGGCATGTGTCACAGAGTGTACACAGTCTGAAAAGTGGATTAAGGGGACCTTACCTCTTTTTCCCATTGGGCACGCAGGGTTGATGCAGTACTCCCACACGGTGCTAGGGTCCGTGGTGTAGCACCACACGCTGTATTTGCTCTCGGGACTGGGATTGCGGCAGTAGTTCTCTGTCAGCTCAGGAAAGAATTCCAGCCAGAGGGTGTGTTGGTGGGGTTTTTCGGCGTCCCAACGCTGACAGGTCTTCCCGCTTATTGTCACAGCGACGTCCCCACGGTGGTCTGATCCATCTGGATTTCCCACACAGCCTGGAAGTACGAAAGCCCAGAGGTGCAAGCTTAACCTGTCAGCGCAAACACCTGCATCGTCTGTGCTAACAACTGCATGGCCTACACACACATCTTCGTCTGCAATGTTTGGTATGAGACCTTGAAGTTTTGCGAAGCTGCTGAAATAAAAGTGCTGGTGCATGCCGCTGTTATTTGAACCAGGATTTTTATTTACTGGACCAGTACAATTGTGTACTTTGTTTTGAAGCAGGGGGCGACATACCACGAAAATAAAACATCTTGACTACATTGTATATGTATTAAACATAGTTAGAATGTTCACAACTACTGAAGCATCAAATTGAAAAATTAATTTAAGATACCAGGATCTCCATGTTATCAAAAAGCAAAGAAACCTATTCATGATTTTATGTTTAGAAGAATATTTAGTACCTATTTTATTTACAGTCTTGAAGGGTGGACCAGTGGTATACATACTGATTGCCAGTCGACTGGTTGTGGGCTGTGGAGCATCTTGATTTTGTAGTAAGCAGCCAGAGCAATGTAAAAGTAGTAGAATTAATTAATATAAGTTGTGAAGTGTGACACATGTACTAAGGGCCAGTACGTGTGTGTATAAACAAAAAAAAACCTGGCTCTTGGGAATGGAACATGGGCCACCAGCTCAAGAACCTGACACATGAACTGCTAGGCTATAAAGTCAGTTTGTGGTGTTTGAACACTAATCAGAACAAGGGACAGGTCTGTTTTTGTTGTTGAATACTGATCAGCACCAGGGACAGGTCTGTTTGTTGTTGAATACTGATCAGCACCAGCAACAGGTCTGTTTGTTGTTGAATATTGATCAGAACCAGGGACAGGTCTGTTTGTTGTTGAATATTGATCAGAACCAGCAACAGGTCTGTTTGTTGTTGAATACTGATCTGCACCAGTGACAGGTCTGTTTGTTGTTGAATATTGATCAGAACCAGGGACAGGTCTGTTGTTGAAAACTGATCAGCACCAGGGACAGGTCTATCTGATGTTGAATACTGGTAAGCACCAGGGACAGGTCTGTTAACGTTTGTTATTGAATACTGATCAGCACCAGGGACAGGTATGTTTGTTGTTGAACACTGATCAGCACCAGGGACAGGTCTGTTTGTTGTTAAACACTGTTCAGCACCAGGGACAGGTCTGTTTGTTGTTGAATACTGATCAGCACCAGGGACAGGTCTGTTTGTTGTTGAACACTGATCAGCACCAGGGACAGGTTTGTTTGTTGTTGAATACTGATCAGCACCAGGGACAGGCCTGTTTGTTGTTGAATACTGATCAGCACCAGGGACAGGTCTGTTTGTTGTTGAATACTGATCAGCACCAGGGACAGGTCTGTTTGTTGTTGAATACTGATCAGCACCAGGGACAGGTCTGTTTGTTGTTGAACACTGATCAGCACCAGGGACAGGTCTGTTTGTTGTTGAATACTGATCAGTACCAGGAACAGGTTTGTTGTTAAATACTGATCAGCACCAGGAACAGGTTTGTTATTAAATACTGATCTGCACCAGTGACAGGTCTGTTTGTTGTTGTTGAATACTGATCAGCACCAGGGACAGGTCTGTTTGTTGTTGAATACTGATCAGCACCAGGGACAGGTCTGTTTGTTGTTGAATACTGATCAGCATCAGGGACAGGTCTGTTTGCTGTTAAAATACTGATCAGCACCAGGGACAGGTATGTTTGTTATTGAATACCGATTAGCACCAGGGACAGGTCTGTTTGTTGTTGAATACTGATCAGCACCAGGGACAGGTCTGTTTGTTGTTGAATACTGATCAGCACCAGGGTCAGGTCTGTTTGTTGTTGAATACTGATCAGCACCAAGAACAGATCTGTTTGTTGTTGAATACTGATCAGCACCAGGGACAGGTCTGTTTGTTGTTGAATACTGATCAGCACCAGGGACAGGTCTGTTTGTNTTTGTAGTAAGCAGCCAGAGAAATGTAAAAGTAGTATCATTAATTAATATAAGTTGTGAAGTGTGACACATGTACTAAGGGCCAGCACGTGTGTGTATAAACACAAAAACCCCTGGCTCTTGGGAATGGAACATGGGCCACCAGCTCAAGAACCTGACACATGAACCGCTAGGCTAAAAAGTCAGTTTGTGGTGTTTGAACACTTTAACTGTTACACTACTCCTATTTTTGTTCTCGTCATTGAATCCCATTGTTCGACATCCCTGTGTGTCACACTCACAGTCACAGGGCCGGCATGCCATGGGAACCAGTGAAACACTATGGGAAAAGTATAGAACACAAAAACCACTGGCTCCCGGGAATCGAATGCGGGCCGCCAGCTCAGGAACCCCACACACCAAACAACTAGGACCCCGTTCATACGAGACTTTTATGACGGTTTTTATGTTGTTATTCCAGGCTCACGGGGTCAACATCCTGGCTGTGTGCGACCTCCACGCTTTTTGATTAAGCGTTGTTTTGAGTTCGTTTCCACTGTTTTTTTTCATGGTTTTTCTTAATTTTACTATGGAATTAGCATGTGCAACCTGGTAGGCGGACAAGACCAAGCTCCTGATATCTATTTTTGGAGACCAGGAGTCGCCGGAAAAACTGTGGGGGGGGGGGGCTGTACCGAAACAAAAATGTATACCTGGACATTCCAGTCAAGCTGGGGGAGCATGGTTTGTCGAAGATAACAGCAGTGCCGCGGTAAGATATAGAGCCAGAAGACAGCGTACAAGAAGGCCAAGGACAACAATTGAAAGAGTGGGAGGAATGGTTATTCGAACTGCCGATTAATTGAATATTCACCAGGCAGGAGTTTTTACAAAACCTGTTATGTAAAATCTGGTATGAACGCTGGAGGTTTTAGCCATGTTTTTCCTCACTGACTATTTAGCGGTTTTAACCAGTTTTTGAAAGTCTGGTATGAACGAGTCTATGTTAAACGGTCCAGATCTGTTACACGGGTCAGTTGGTGGTGCTTGAACCCCACTGTAAGAAGGCTTAGCTTAGTATAACTTGCAGTAGCTACTAATAAAAGTTAAAAAGAGGAACAGATCTTGATATCATTGACTTCTCTTCTAGTTTTTATTATTTTTTTAGTATGATTCTCTGTTCTTATACTCTTATAGAAAAGCAACAATGTCTGTGTCCAACATTTAGAAACGCTATCTGTGACTTCTTTGCCTTAACTTGTGTGTACTTCTGGCACTCATCAATAATCATATTGATAATACCTGTTTTATCCATGGTCTGCATGGGGGGAGCAGTTGTTGATGGTTGAATGGTTGATGGCTGTGAAGCATCTTGATTTGGTGTAAGAAGTAAAAGAAGTATATTTAAGTTCTAGTAATATAAGTGGTAAGTATATGGTATGCTTGTAGCTACAATGTATAAGTGAATAGGCCACATTGACTTAATTTTATGGATGACATCCTCTGAAGACCCCAAAACTAGTGCGTGCAGGTGAATAAAAAAAATTCCAGCCCCAAAACAGTGCTGTTAAACCACAGGAATACGAAGCTGGTATTGCGAATTTGAGGTAGTACATAGTGGATTTAAAGTATTTTTAGTCTAATGCTTGCAGCTTCAAGTTAAATAAAAAACATTCATATCATCTTCCTCTTCTGTTCATGTATTTTTATGGTGTTAACTAGGAATACTTTTATTCATAGGTCTGTTGTTGTTGAACACTGATCAGCACCAGGGACAGGTCTGTTTCTGTTGAACACTGATGAGCACCAGGAACAGGTTTGTTGTTAGATACTGATTAGCACCACGCACAGGTCTTTTTGTTGTTGAACACTGATCAGCATCAGGGACAGGTCTGTTTGTTGTTGAATACTGATTAGCACCAGGGACATGTCTGTTGTTAAACACTTATCAGCACCAGGGACAGGTTTGTTGTTGTTGAACGCTGATCAGTACCAGGGACATGTCTGTTGTTGTTGAATACCAATCAGCACCAGGGACAGGTCTGTTGTTGTTGAACACTGATCAGCACCAGGGACAGGTCTGTTTCTGTTGAACACTGATCTGCACCAGGAACAGGTCTGTTTGTTGTTGAATACTGATTAGCACCAGGGACAGGTCTGTTTGTTGTTGAATACTGATCAGCACCAGGGACAGGTCTGTTTGTTGTTGAATACTGATCAGCACCAGGGACAGGTCTGTTTGTTGTTGAATACTGATCAGCACCAGGGACAGGTCTGTTTGTTGTTAAACACTGATCAGCACCAGGGACAGGTCTGTTTGTTGTTGAATACTGATCAGCACCAGGGACAGGTCTGTTTGTTGTTGAATACTAATTAGCACCAGGGACAGGTCTGTTTGTTGTTGTTAAATGCTGATCAGCACCACAGACACTTTCTATTAGTGGTGCCTATTTGTTTATTCAAATACTTTTAAAGTAGTACTTCAAATTTGTTTTCGCGGTGTTTGTATGTGTGTGTGTACATGTATGTGTGTGTGTATAAGTATGTATATGGGAATTGTACAATGTATAAGTTCAATCACTACAGACTGCCAAAGTCTACTAAACAAAGAATGGGAAAAAGGTAATCCCTTATCCTACCGACCCTAGTTGTTTAGCACTGAAGCAGGAAACACAACATTTTTAGACCTAACAACCCTAAGCACAAGACATAATACAGAAGTCTAAGACATATATATAGAGAAGTGAACAACCTGTTTTACCTGTGGTCTTCATGTCTGGACCAGCTGTAGAATTGGGAGCATCTTGATCTGGTTTGGAGATGACACCAGACTGTGGCCTGCTGTTGAATATGTAGGAAGTTGTGACCTGCACTGTTTCACAAGATTCCACCTGTGTACTTGAACCTGAAAGAAAAGTAAACAATAATCCAATGGCACAAATGGGGGTTAAATTGAGGTCCCGTGTTTGGGGAGAGCCAAACCCTATGCACGTTTAAGAACCCACTTGCGGGCAGCAAAACAATGCGTGTGTGTGTATGCGTGAATTCATCTTACATTTTTAAATATAAAATGATGATAAAAATGTGCTAAAAATAAAGAGAAGTTTCACGTAGCTTGTTTTCTAAAACGTCTTAAATAGCGTTCTAGAGCCCCAAAACAAGCTACGTGAGTCATCTCTATTTTCTGGGTACCACCCATAAATATAGGGCAGAGTCCAATATAGGGCAGAAAAGAAACAAGCCATGTCAACATTCTATCTTCACATGTGAGACCTGTAACAAACCCTGTAAGAGTAGACAGTGCTATGATTATGATAATTATAGTCTAGCTGCTCGCAGTCAAGCCCACAAACAGTGAACAGAACGTGCACCAGGATGAAAAGGGCTGTGATGATTAATAAATCTATATAGCTAGAACCAACCCATGATAAAAAGCAAAGAACCATTTTCCACCAGTGACATCACATTCTTGCCTTACAGGTATGCAATAGGGGCTGTACTACTCACCTCCATGGAGCTAGCTCCATGGAGCTAGCTCCATGGAGGTAAGTACTTCAGCCCTGAGGCAGATTTTTTCCAGCTCCATGGAGCTAGCTCTACGCACTATGAATGCATATGCCTGGTTCACGTCACCTTCAAGAAAAATGCATATACATGTTTCACGTCACTTCAAGAAAACAAACCAGCGCTATAAATGTCTTGAGAAATAAACAGCCCCGTGCACAAAGAACACACATGGTTCACGTCACCTACAATGAAGAAATCATGCTCTGAGAATATATCGTGTTTAAACTTGATACGGCCCCACGCACTGAGAACGATACATGTACACACAGTGCCGGTCTTCTCAGAGGCTGTTTTGCCCACAGAGCTAGCTCCACGCACTTTGAATGCATATACATGTTTCACGTCACCTTCAAGATAAATACATAAACGTGCTTCCCGTTGCCTTCAAAAAATACCACGCTCCAGAAAATGGTTAGATCGGTGTATTGTTATTT